AAAAAGGAAGCCGATTCAGAATCCTTGTAAGTCCTTAAAGAAATGCAGACCTATTTTTTTTATGGACAAAAGAAACAAACAGGTATTAGACAATGAATAAAGTATTAGAATCACAAAAGACATCTTTTATTTTTTTATTTAGAATCTAAAGTTGTGTGTGTGTGTGTGTGTGTGTGTGTGTGTAGATGTGCCTTGGTTGTGGGGTGTGGAGGTCAGAGAACAACTTGTAAGAGTCAATTCTCCCTTCTATCTTGTAGGTCCTTGGAATCAAACTTAGTTGTCAGTCTTAGCAGAACATTCCTTTATTTGCTGAGCATCTCACTGGCCCAAAGACATTCTTTTATATTTACTGGTTTGTTAGAAATTAAGAGTTTGAAGAGGAGGCAAGAGGATTGTGAGTTTGAGACTAGCCTGCACTACATAGTGGGATCTTGTCTCCAAAAAAAAAGGTGAGGGGTGTTAGGGGCTGGAGATGTAGTTCAGTTAGTAGAGTGCTTGCCTAGTGAGTTGGTTAATTTTCAACTTGTCACAAATTAGTCATCTGGAAAGAGGAAACCTCACTTGAGGAATTGCTGCCTTCAGACTGCCTACAGGCAAGGGGGTGTTTTCTTGATTAATGATTGATGTGGGAAGGCCCTGCCCACTGTATTTACACCACACCTTGGCAGGAGATCTTGAATGATATAAGAAAGCAAGCTGATGGGTGCTGGAGAGATGGTTCAGAGGTTAAGAGCACTGGCTCCTCTTCCAGAGGACCCAGGTTCAATTCCCGGTACCCACATGGCAGCTCACAACTGTCTGTAACTCCAGTTCCAGAGGATCTGACACCCTCACACAGATGCATAGGCAGGCAAACCGCCAATGCATGTAAAATAAAAACATGTAAGTTAAATTTTAAACAGCAAACTGAATAGGCCAAAGAGAGAAAACAGGAAACAGTTTACCATGATGGTCTTTACATCAGTCTCTGCTTCCAGGTTTCTGCTCTGAGGCCCTGCCCTGCCCTCACTTTCCTTGATAGTAAATAGACATCATCACAGTGACGGAAAAACTAGGACATCTCACATACACAAAGCCCTGGGATACCTCCCAGTACCACATAAATGGGGTACGGTGGTACACACCTTTGATCCCAGCACTTGGGAGGTGGTGGCAGTAGAATCAGGAGTTTGATCATCCTCCGCCACATGGTAAGTTGGAGATCAGCTTGGTCTCATGTTACAGACAAACAAACAAAAAGCCTAGATGGCAGCTAACGGAAACAATACTGTTGAATTAGTTGCCCTAAAAAATGCTGTGGGCTAAAGAGGTGGCTCACTGATTAAGAGCATCTGCTCTTGCTAAAACCTGTGTTTGGTCTCCAGCACCCATATGGTGACTCACAGCCACCCATAACTCCAGTTCCAGGACATCTGATGCCCCTTTCTGGCCTCCAAGGGCACCAGTCATCCTTGTAGTGCACATACATACATGCAGGCAAAACACTCATACATGTAAATTTTTTTTAAAAAATTAATTTTACAAAACATGAACTTGGAATATAGTATGAAACATTTTAAAAGGCTCGATTAAAGAGGTCAAATGAATGCAGTAGTTACTTTTCTGTTGCGGTGATGATATACAATGAACAAAGCAACTTATATAGTGAGGAAGAGTTCGTTTTGGCTAAGAGTTCCAGAGGGTTAAGAGTTCATTCCATCATGATGGGTAGGCAAAGCAGGAAGAGACAGGAATGGTAGCAGGAACAGGAAGCTGACAGCCGCCACCTTCAAAACAACTGCAGAGCAGGGAGAGTAAGCTAGATGTGGTGGGAGGCCTTTGCTCTCGAAGCCTGTCCCCAGTGAAATACTTCCTTCTACAGACAGGGCTATCCTCCAGCAAGGCTGCGCCACCTAAACCCCACCCCCCCAAATGCCAGCTGGGGACCAAGTATTCAGGTGCCCAAGACTATTCATTCTACCACAATGAACAACACATTTCTATTTTGTTTTAATCTGCTGATTGACAGTATGTGGTAAAAATATAAAACAAAGTCAGAGAGCAAGCAAAAGAAAACTCGAGGCTGCTGGGGACTGCTAAGGACAGGAGCAGCTCCAGAAATGTCTGATCAAGACTGGGTGGGTGGCCCCTGTTTCCTGAACTAGGTAGGCTGTGAAATCACAGACGTTCCTGTAATTATAGTGACCATGACTTCTATACACACAAGCATATGTGTACAAACTTGAGCCTGTTTGATTTTAATGTCCTAGATTTTAATGTCCTAATGTACATCTCACAGGGAGAAAAGAATCCTGGGCTTGAAATGTTCACTGCCCGTCGGGCTGTTGGAGGAATTATAGTTTGTGTTCTTCTAGTTTGTTAATCAAACAACCCAGACACCAACTCTCTGGCAGGCAAACCCTGACTTTACAGTGGTGAACTCAAGCCCCAGCAGAACATGTAATCTTAAAATCTCTCTTCTTCTTCGTTCTCTGAATTAGCATTGTTCCTTGCATTGGGTTGGAGGAGCACAAACTGACCTCATAAACTCAGATAGCGTTGTGTGGGAGGTGGACCTTGCAGGGAAACTGTGAAGCAATGTGGCTAAGACTCAAGTGTGGCTCTTGGAGACTGAGGTATCCTGTCCTCTCCACAAAAGTGGTGGCAGCAAGATGAAACTGGTTCCTCATTACTAGAGGAGGTCCTAGAGACCTCACACATACCCGGCTAATGATCTATACCACTGAGCAGTGTCCCCAGCCCTCTTTTACATTTCATTTGGAAACAATGTCTTACTAAGTTACTGGGGCTGGCTTTGAACAGTGAGCTTCCTGCCTCAGCCTCCAGAATACGTGAGATTTACCAGCTCACCATCACTTTTTTGTTTGTTTGCTTTGCTTTGCTTTGTTTCCTGCTGAGTTGGCCTCTTTTACTCTTTTGGTAAGCCACTACACCCTTCTGGGGGTGAACTGGGTAGGGTCCTGATGCAGACACAGTACAATGCAGATGCAGTACTGCTCCCAGCACAGCCCTTTCCCTTTGCCGAGGCTCAGAATACAACTTGGATTCTGATTTTCCACATTCTGGTCTCAGAAGTGCTTTCCGCTGCACCAGTTACCTGGAGTCTTAGCTTTCTAGTGGCTCTTACTACCAGGCTCCAACTCTTCTAGGAATACCATGTTTAATTATGATAAAACAAGATTCATTCTCTCCAGCAAGCTCAAGTACAAGGGCAAGCATGTGCTACAATGCACATGTATGGCTTTTGGATTTTTACCGACCTTGTAGACTCCCCTACCTTATACCACACAGATTGTATACATTTTTTTCTCTTTTCCTTGTCCTTGGTTTAGGTCCTTAATCTGTTTTTTTGTTTTGTTTTTGTTTTTGTTTTTTTGGTTTTTCGAGACAGGGTTTCTCTGTGTAGCTTTGGATCCTATCCTAGCACTCGCTCTGGAGACCAGGCTGGCCTCGAACTCACAGAGATCCGCCTGCCTCTGCCTCCCAAGAGCTGGGATTAAAGGTGTGCGCCACCAACACCCGGCCAGGTATATATGTTTTTTAAATGCACTGAATCTGTTAAATAAGTATTATTATAACATGAAAAAGTTCACATACATACTTGGGCTTCTTCTAGCCTCTCTGGTCCTTCCTGTATTTGTTTTGTTTGCTAATAACTCACTTGAAACAAGGAAGGTGTTCTTTCATTTCTCTCTTAAAAGTTTCTTAGTTATTTTGGATATTTATTCTTATGCATAATAAATTTTATGATTCCCACTAGGTTTACATTGAAAATTACATTAAACATAGATTTTAATTGAAAAGGGAAAGCTATTTCTACATTTTTCTCTTTCAGTATCATGGTATCTGTCTAATATGCTTTTGGTGGGGTGGTTTGAATGAAAATGGCCTCCGTGGTTCACAGGGAGTAGCACTATTGGGAGTTGTGGCCTTCATTGGAATAGGTATGGCCTTGTTGGAAGAAGTGTGTCACTGGAGGTGGGCTTTGAGGTCACAGAAGCTTAAGCCAGACCCAGGGATCTGAGCGAGGCTCTGCTATCCAACTAGACCTATTTTCCTTATTGATTGGGAAGATTACAGTGGGTGTAGAGTTTTTTATTCTGTATCTTCCTCCTGCTTGGCTCCTTTCCATTCCCAGCCCTTAACTACAGGATGGCTAATAGAACCAAATAACTAAGAGTGTCCCAAGAGATTAACCATTATTTAATGAAAAGACATCATGATTCATGATGTCATATATATATATATATTTAGAAGAAAAAATGGCCAATGCCTGATGAGAATGCCTGCTTTTTAAAGGGGCCATTTATTTTAGGACAAGCTTTGGGGAGGTATGTACCCATCTAATGTCTCACTCTGTAGCCATAGAAAAATAAAGTTCACAATGATACCTCAACTAAGAAGTTGCTCTGCAGTGTGCTAACAAGGAAGGACAATGAATCAGTACCATTTGCCAAGATTTTTCAACAAAGTGACAAAGAGCCAAAAGACTCAGAATATTAACTTTTACTCTGTGACATAAAACTGCCAAGGATCACATGCCATTAAATTTCTTTCCAGTACAGTGTTTCTAGAATACAAACCTTTAACAATATATGCAAAGAGTAAATAAAATCATATAAATAAAACAAAATTACCATGCCTTTAAGATCTTGCAAAAGGTTTAAAAAAAAATCAGTGTTATCACTTAGGAAAGGTTAACCTAAAAATGCAGCAGAGAATGTGGTAAGGAAACACATAGCTTCCACCTAGGCCACTTAATCCTGAACATGGAATTGAAGTCTGAGAAATGTTAGCCTAGATGTTAGGAGATGGCCACTTTCCTACCTACAGGTGTCAAATGACAAATGACACACCGAGTTCCTAGGCAGTGAATTCTGAGGTTCATTGTCCCTTGAGACAAGAGTTATTCTGGACACAAATGAAAGAGTAAGTTTAGAAAGCATCTACAGTCACTGGGCTGTTTTGCTTTTTGTTTATGTATACAGCAAGACACTGACCTGTTGGACATAGAGTATGACAGCCGTCAGTCCAACCCAGCTGTGCAGACTGTACATATGGGGGATACTTCGGACATTGTGGTAATCAAACACGGCCACTACGGAGATGATGGCGAGGACGGCAGCCACAGCGTTTAACCCCGCATGGATGGACTTCATCAGGAACTTGCTGCACTTCCAGGTCCATGGCAATCTGTACACGATGATGGCTAACCGAACAAAGTAGTTTAAAAATCAACACAAAGTCAACCATTTGACCCACTGGACAGTTTCTTTTGAGGAACTTTACCCTTGGCTTCTGCTTCTCCCAGCCTCTCCTTCTCAGCCTCCCATGCAGCCACTTCACTTCTGAGTGTATGCGGCAAAGAAAGAGATACACACATTCATCAGCAGACCCCACAGTTAGCCCACCATTTATCGTGGCCCAAATGTCTGTCATCAGTACATGGGGTGGTAATAGATCCACACTATGGATTAATATACACAGAAGACAGTGAAGGCACCTTACATATACTTTGCAACATGTACACTAAAATTCAATAGGAAGCCCTAGAATATTTTAAATGTCCACATTAACCAACATACAATTAACTTTTTGTTAATTTGTCCCAAAGACAACAGTGTGCCTTTTCCAAGCATCTGATCCATGTCAGGAAAATTCTATTTGGAAATGTGTGACAGATTGAAAATTCTGAATAATATTTCTTGGAAGATGGGCTCCACTCCATCAGTTGTGGCCCATGTACTTTCTTAATTCCAGGAAGTAAGGAAAAGGAACCTGAAAATATAATTGGATATATTAAAATTTCTTAGGTTGGAGAGATGGCTCATGGTTAAGAGTATTTACTGCTTCTGTAGAGGACTCGGGTTCAGTTCCCAGCACCCACATGGCAGCTTACAACCATCTGTAATACACATTTTAGTGAATCTGCCACCCTCTCTGACCTCCTCAGGTAACAGCCGTGTACATGGTACACATACATACATACATACATACATACATACATACACACACACACACACACACACACACGCGCACACACACACACACACACACACACACACACACACACACGCATACACTCATACACACAAATAAATCTAAAAAAAATTTAAAATGTCTTTAAGATCATGAAAACATATGAGAGGAGAAACACATCTAAAACTACAAAGATGGATGTAGATGTGACCTCCTTAAAGTTTTCATTGTAGGGTACCACCAGTCCCGTCCTGTTGTCCCAGTCTGACACCTGATGCTTTCACCAAGAGGACAGTATTTCTTTTACTTAACCCAAACTCCAAGGGATTGTTGCTCTCTGGTCAATGTGTGTGTGTACTTTATAAAAATGCTCATTGAGGGCTGCTCAGATGGCTCAGGAGGGCAAAGCATATGCCACAAGCTTTGCTTGTGGCCTGATGGCCTGAGTTTGATCCCCTGAACCCACAAATTGTCCTCTAATCTGGACAACTGTGCTCTGTCACAACCCCCACAGACATACACACACAGAGAGACTAAATAAATGTAATAAAAAGATGTTTATTGCTGATAGATCAAGTTTCCTTGAGGACATGGAGACCCATGGTCTAATCATTTCTAGACTCAGTGAATCTCTTCAAGCCAGTTATTACAGCACCTTAGACTTTAGCAGCTAGCTCAAGACACTTGATTTCATCTCAGCGTATTCCTGTGTTGCTCTTTCTCCCCTGTGTCCTAGAGCCTAATACAGCCTCACAGTATGAAGGTCCATGAGTGTTTTCCAAAGTCTTATTTTGAGCTAATTGTAGATTTGCATGTAACTGTGAGATCTCATACAGAAAGCTCTCAACACTCTCTCTCTGGGTGCTCTGGGCATCTTACTTATCCAGGACATCACAAACAGGACACCGACATCAATGTGACTTCCTGCCCTGATTCAGGTTTCTCTAGCTCTACTTACTTGTGTGTGTAAGACCCACAACATCCTTGAAAATAAATGTACACAAACCTCTTTCAGCAAACTGGCCAAAATCTAGAAACCAAATTAGTGTCAGCTCAGACACCAGTGTATTATCCTCGTGCTTTTTCTCCTTTAAGGATTTAGGGGCACATCTCGTATAATCATGGAGCCTAGACACCTCTACCCCATGGCTCAGTGGCCTTTAATCTATAGCATGAGGTCTCTTACAATTTGTGTGATCCAAGAATAGTAAAATTAGTAAAGTGAAAATGTACAATATAGAAAGACATAAAATAACTGGAGAGGGCTGGAGAGATGGCTCAGCAGTTAAGAGCACTGGCTGTTCTTTCAGAGGACCCGGGGTTCAATTCCCAGCAACCACATGGCAGCTCACAACTGTCTGTAACTCCAATTCCAGGGGATCTGACATCCTCACAGAGATATACATGAAGGCAAAACATCAGTGCATATAAAATAAAAATAAATTATATTAAAAAAAATAACTGGAGATTTAACTCAGTGGTAGAGCACTAGCCTAGCATATACAAGGCCCTGGGTTCGATTCCCAGTACTGGGGAGGGGGACATTACATATTCATTCCCTGGTTTAATGTCATTTCACACACACACACACACACACACACATACACAGTGTCAAACATTCCAAGACAACTGAACTTCCTGTGAAATGTTTTATTCTTCCCAGTACTACAGGAAGCATAGAGGAATGTGCCAAAACTTCACATAAAACTGAAACTGAAAAAGAACAAGAAACAAACAAAAACCAAAAAACTGAAACTGACCTTGTGCTCCCACCACCTGGCTCAAAACTTGAGTTTTAAACCATTTGCAATCAAGCAAGTATTTTGTTTTGTGGGTTGTTGTTTTGTTTAGAGCAGGATCTCACTGTTATTACCCAGGCTGCTCTTGAACTCCTGACCTCAAGGAATGCTCCTGTCTCAGCTCTGAGGTAGCAAGTAGTTTTAAACTGGTTTCTGGATAATGTTCTTTCTCCAATAGTGGCAGTGACCGAGCACATTTAACAGTTCCCTGACGTCTATGGTCATTTTCCTGAGGGGAGAGCCTGGGGCAATTCTGAAGTGGGATGCGTGCTTTTGCCACTGATCCAAATGAACCCAATTATAATTTTTATAGTTTTTTTAAATTTTAAAATTTTTATTTATATTTTATTTATTTATTATGTATACATTTATCCGCACGCATGCTTGCACACCAGAAGAAGGCACCAGATCTCATTATAGATGGCTGTGAGCCACGATGTGGTTGCTGGGAATTGAACTCAGGTCCTCTGGAAGAGCAGACAGTGCTTTTAACTTCTGAGCCATCTCTCCAGCCCAAATTCCTTATAGTTTAACAGTAAAACATGTTTTTATAAGTTTGTGAAGCCAGTAGCCAGTTAAGCTCCACTCTTCACAGGCAGCTGTGTGATGTGAAGCCTTCCTGTGAAGGACACAAGGGGCTTTCCACATCTGTCCAGGCTTCCCAGAACTCTCCACAGCTGAGTGTGTTCAAAAGGCTCTCTGGACAACTGAAGGCTGGCCAGAAATGCTGTATTTTCAACTGCTGTTTACACATTTCCCAAGATACATAAATATCCAAAATACCGTGGGTTTAAGGAAAACTGGGTGAGTTTAACAAATCAGACCACATTTTAAAAAGAAGAAACTACTCTTAGCAGCTGTAAAACTGCTCTTGCTCTCCACACCAACCTAGACTGTATTCCTGAGGTTGGATGAGAAGGAAGGAGAGGGAGCAGAAGTGGGGTGATGAAAACAAGGGTTCTTCTGGGGGCTCTGACCATTCCCTTCAGGAAATGAGGGCAAATGTAGGAGAAAGACACTCTCAGGACCTCCAGAGGAAAAGCAATGGGTGTTAGAACACACTAACATAAAAAAGTTAAGAGCAAGGGGGAGCTCATAACTGTGTGTAATTTTCCTCAAGTCTATCAAGATGGAAATACAGTCAAATTATTAGAAAACTTGTTAGAGCCTAGTTGCATGATCAAGACTCAGGGATATAAGAAAATATACATTCTCTAGGAGCTGACCTCTGGATTGATGCCAGCCCTCCTCCCATCTACATATGCAAGTGTCTGTCACACGTAAAGCCTGAGTCTGTCAAACTGAGATCAGGTCAAGGATAGAGGACTTAGGAGGCAGATAAGTCCCCAGATATAGAAAATATCTGATCATAGTTCTTCTATGCTTAAACCTTGTGACTCATGAAAGTACAAACATGTCTATAAACACATCTTGTGCCTGTCACATATTGGGAAGTCACAAAGTATCTGTGAAAAAAAAATTAACGAAGAAGCAATTAATTCTGTATCCTCAGCACATAAATAGATTCTCATGTTTGTTCTATTTTGTTTTTGATTTTATTTATTTGTTTGTTTAGTTTTGGTTTTTTGAGACCGGGTTTCCCTGTGTAGCCCTGGCTGTCCCAGAACTCACTCTGTAGACCAGGCTGGCCTCGGACTCAGAGAGATCTTCTTGCCTTTGCCTCCCAAGCACTGGATTAAAGGTGTGCACCACCACCACCTATTTCTTTCAATTTTATTTTTATAAAGTAAGATGTAGTGGATAGGATGGCTCCTACCTGTATTCCCAGCACTGAGAGGCTGAGGCAGGAGGATTACTGCTAGTTCTAGGCTAGTCTGGGCTACGGAGTGAGTTCCAGGTCACATTGAGCTACACAAGACCCTATTTTTTAAAAAAGTAAGATAATTTAAATATTTGAATATATTTAGATCATACAATGTGATCTTTTGTTATGTGCTATGAAATTGTTAGGTTAAACGAGCTGACATCTCAGTTTCTGTTACAACAGGTCCTCTTGTAAAATTTATTTGTGTGTGTGTGCGCGCGCGCGCGTGTGTGTGTACATGTACTGCTGTCCATGTGTGAAGCTATAGGACAACTCTCAGAAGTCAGTTCTGCCACCATACAGGATTTGGGATCAGGTCCTCAAGCCTGGCCACAAGCACCTCTACACACTGAGCCATATCACCAGCCCAGATCCTCTTCTAAAAATACAAAGTGGGAGCTGGAGGAAAGTGCATTGTGTGCAATCATGAGGACTTCATTGTGGGCACTGGGGCTGGAGACAGGTCCCAGGGGCTTGCTGTCCAGCCAGTCTATACAAATCGGTGAGTTCTCAGATCAGTGAGAGACCTTATCTCAAAAATAAGGTGGGGAATGACAGAGAAAGATACTTGAAGTTGCCCTCTAGCCACACACTCACATACATGCC